TTGGACAGTTTTGAGGTGCCAACTTTGGACCACCATAACTCCATTCTCCGGCCACCTTTTGCCACGAACCAATATACCAAATTGAAGCCCTCAATGCCCTCTTAACAACCCACCCAACCATTGGCCTTTATCCCATCGTAATTGGCCGAAAAATCGAGCCAAAGTGAGCTACCCGGATTTTGGACAGCTTGGAGGTGCCAACTTTGGACCATCATAACTCCATCCTCCGGCCACCTTTTTCCAAGGACCAATATACCATATTGAAGCCCTCAATTCCCTCTTCAAAACCCATCTAATCACTGGCTGTGATCCCGTCGGCATTGTTCGAAAAATTGCCCCAAAGTGGGCTACCCACGCATAGCTTTTTGTCCAAAATCCGGCCGTGAGTGGGTAGCTCATTTTGGATCCTTTTTCCGGCCAATTCCGATTTGATGTATATTGGTTAGTGGAAAAAGGTGGCCGGAGGATGGAGTTATGGTAGTCCAAAGTTGGCACCTCCAAACTGTCCAAAATTCGGGTAGCTCACTTTGGCTATATTTTTCGGCCAATTCCGACGGGATCACGGCCAGTGGTTGGGTGGGTTGTTCAGAGGGCATTGAAAGCTTCAATTTGGTATATTGGTTCGTGGCAAAAGGTGGTCGGATGACGGAGTTATGATGGTCCAAAATTGACACCTCAAAACTGTCTAAAATCCGGATTAGCTTACTTTGGTCATTTATGTTTGAATCAAAGGCAAAACGGTCCTCCAGTGATCGTTTGTGAAAGTGCATCAAACTTCAGTGACCGTTTCTGCAAGTTTTGAACTTCAATGACCGTTTTGTTATTTTTGCGTAAGTTCAGTAACCGTTTGTGAAATTAACCCAAAAGCAAAAAATTTAACCATTTAAGAATTGAAAAAAAAAAAAAGTGTCTAGGTGTGAAGTGAGATGTTTTGCTCGAACTTACTTTTTAGAACACTGCTTATGACACAAACAATCGAACTTGTGGAGTGGGTGAGTGTGATCACGCTCCTTGAAATGTTCCCACTCTTGGTGTCCAATAGTAGTGAAAATTTGAAGAGCAACTTGCCATTAAAAATAAGTTAAGGATCAATGGTGACTTCAAAGTTTAAATTCAAATTTGAGCACCATGGACCATAATAAATTAATTTACAAATATTCTGCCTCCTATAATCTTTTTTAGTTTTTTATCCACATTCAAAATTCTCTTTTTTCCCCCTAATTATTGTGTTTTTATTATTGTTCTTATATTTTAAGCCAACAATTGTACAAAAAACTTGTTAATTGATAAAAGTATGAATAATATTATCTCTCGATGAAAGAACTACAAAAACAGCATGTAATCTTCACATTTTCAAGGTTACACATTACTTTGCGACATTTGAACAATTCATGTCAATAACAATAATAAGAATGTAGGATTGAACTCATACAAGCACGAAAATCCAATATTAACCACCAAAGTAGACCACTAGAAAACCTCTTAGAACAAGTTGAGTGAGCCATCACCTTTAAATAACGAAAAAGCATTAATTTTACCCTTTTCGATACATACCTAACGAGCTCTCATGACCAAGTCAACGCTCTCGACCAATCCTAAAAAATGTGAGGAACTTCTTCGCAAATTACATTTTCATATGCTCATTTTTTCGTTATTTAATAATTAAATATATAGTCTGGTTTGAAATATTCATTAGGACTGCGTTTGATACACTGTATTTGATCAAAGAGCTCATATTATTCATCATACTTTTATACTAACTTTTATATACGATCTTTTATAGTTGGAAAAATAAAATTTACTTATACTTTTCCTAGTATATTCTTACATTGAATAATAATTTAAATAAGTATATTTTATATTTATTGATAACAAAACATATTAAGACCTTGTTTGAACCTCATTTTTTGCCCAAAATGTATTGTAGAATAATATTTTAATGAAGAATGTGTGATTAAAAAATAAGGAAAAATTTTGGATTTACGTATAATATTATTTTATTGAACAATGTGCAATTGAAAATAAGATAGAGAAAAATGTATTTTGAAAATAATGAGAACCAAACAAAAACTAAATACGAGAATAGTAGAAAATTAAGAAATAATTATATTTTCAATTAAGAAAAGAAGATTATAATTTGGGATATATAAAGTGGAAATTAAACCAGGTATTTAAAAATCATACTTCAAAAATCAGATATGATTTATATTTAATAAAAATCAGGTGACAAATCAATATTTTAATATTAATAATTATATGATAGATTAATATATATACCACATCCTCCAACCCAATTAAATTTTCAAACCCTAATTCATTTCTATACCTATTATCTCTCTATCTTCTCTCTGCAGCCAAAGTGTGCAGTCAATTTTTCAGATCTTTCTTTAATAATTTTTGAGAAAAGAATTGAGATAAATGGGGTTGTGATTACGAAGAGAGAGGATCGACAAAGGTTTTCTCTTGTCGAAGTTTGGAGCCCACAGGATGACTTTAACGACTATAATTTTGATTAAAATCCTACAAAAATTTCTTCCAAACACACTCTAAAATTTGAAGCAAATCGAAAATTACCATCCCATTGTTTGTTGCACGGACTAGCCTATAGTAGCTTAAGAATTTACCCCAAATCAATTTCATCCCTTTTGTATTCCCTTCTCTTTCTTCTATTTGGGCCTTTCCCACCATGACCATCTTTTTAAATTTACACTTGACATGAGCTTCTCTCTCGTGTTTACAAAACATGTGTCTTACAAATCTTTTTATCTAGGAGTTTGAAGTTGTTTTTGCATTTGTCGGTGTAATATGGGTGAGACGATGTCCACACCTGACTATAGCAACACCGTATAAAGAAAAAGCTTTATTTTTAAAATTCTTATTACTACATGTGACCAACTATTTGACTAATTTGTGACTAACTAATCAATTGTAACTTAAAAATATGATATTTCGCAACTAAAAAATAATTTTTATCCATCAAATAAACTGTGACCTATAAATTTTTTGATCTGTGAGATATCAAAATTTTTTATCGTGATCATGAAATAATCTGCGATTAATTAATTTGATAATTTGTGATCAACAAATAAGTTGTACGTATAAGTACGCATCATTAATTATAAATTTAATTAATAAAATATTTTTAGTTAATTAATTAATA